CTGTAAATAATAATAACAATCATGACCCTGAGTTTAAAAGGCTCCTTGTTTGAGCTTGTGATAAGCAGTGGTCACATGTAGATAAAACAATATCCCAAAGAAGCACAGTTTGCACACAGAGCAGCAGTTTCTGCTCATTGCCAGCTGTTGTCTAGGGAAGCTAGAATAAAATGTGCCAATTGCAAGGAAAAGAAAACCCAAATCCTCCTTATTCAAATAGGTAGCATACACCCAGGCACTTTTTCTTTTCAGCATAGTGTGCACAGACTAAATGCACCATGCTGTCTCCCCAAAATGTGTGCAAATGGGTTTGCCACCACAGGGATAGAAGAAGGGGAGGAGACACCTGTGAAAAGGAGTCATCTGTGTTGGCCAGAAAAGCTGAAGGCAGGAGCAGCTCAGAAGTGCCTGCTGCTTTGCCAGCACCCAGCGCTCGGTGAGCCATGCCAGGACATTCCCTGCCTGCACCCACACGTGCTCGGAGGGCTGCTCTACGTGTCCCGGGACATGTGCCAGTGAGGGTGGTGTGTGACAGTGTCTCGTGCTGCTTGGAGGCAGCACCAGGCATACTGGGAGCACGGGTCTCCCCCTTCCAGGCTAGTTACGAACAGATAACTTGGCTCATTCCTTTTCTCCTTAATCTAAGGAACCTACTACTGATTTAACCATCACAAATTGGAGTCATGACATTTGCCATGGCCTGCAGAGGGTACCACAAGTCTTGGCCCCTTTTCTCCCTACTTTTCTGTGGGTGGTACGTAGCACTGTGGGGCGATTCCTCCTCCTGGCGCCGTGCTGACGTGGTGATATCCTGCTGGCACCCGCGAGTCAATCCCACCTCTTTCAGGAGCGCTGCTCCCGGGACAATGGTGAGCCTGGGGATTGCGTGTAGCCGCTCCTAGCACTACACAAACTCTGAAAGGAAAAGCAAACGGAGTTTATTTGACTAACCTGCTTAACCAATCGGCCCCCGTTTCTTGGAGGAAGAACAGAGGAATGAGCTAATTCTATGCCAAATAGTTTTGGCACAAAACGGCTTTTGCTATTTTGACAACCATTTGTGATTGTTTCCTGGTTCCCTTCAGACAGCAAACTCCCCAGTCACATCAGCCCTCAACACAACTTGCACAGCTCCCTGGAAGTGGGATGCAACCTTGTAGATAAGCCTCAACCTTTGGCTTTCCTTTCCATAAAATGGACACTAATTTGCTTACTCCAATGACAGCCGGGATGCTCCAGCACTGCTGATGTTCTTGCCTCTTGCACTTTTGTTCCCTGCTGCTTCACAAGGCAGAGAGAAGGTTTCCAGAGTCTCTCGCTGACACTTCCTTCAAGCCTGCTCAGCCCCAGGTGCACAGAGCAACCTCTGTTCCCAGGCAGCCAGATGGCTAGCTGCAATCGAGTCACTCTTTAATTAACTTTAGATTTTTTTTCCCCTCTGTGGTTTGTTTCTGGGAAGAAGGGAGATGACAGCAAGTTTGTTTGTATGAGGTTGATTTGGCTGGGACCTACGCTACAGATTTTGAAGTGTCTTTTGGTTTTGTTCTCCTCATGAAAGGGGGAGAAACTGAGGATCCAAGGAGATTTGGGGAATGGATAGAAGGAAGTTGTGTATGTATACAGGTTTATTGAGAGTCATAAAGATAATGATAGAAAAACATTTATATCATTTATATATAAGTAACAAATCAAGAGAGATATGAACTGGCTTTTGCATTTGTTAACTAGCTGCCCATAGCAATCAAGGCATGGCAGGACAAACATCATATTCTGTCACCCTAGCCAGGAAGGCCCCAGATCCGCCTTGCTACTGAGAAGGATGAAAAAGTTTCATCAAGAGCGGAGCAAGAACAAGGGACGACAGGGAGGCAGAGGCTGTACCAGCTCACCCTGTCCATAAGGGTAGGACACAGCCATTACCTAAATGATGCCACAGGAGGAAAAAAAAAAAAAAAAGGGCTATATTTTTTCCATTAAAAGTAGCAAAGTCTGGAAGGCAGAAAGTGCTGAGGGAGAAGAGACACATCGGAGAAGAGGTGAAGAAAAGTATTTTTGAACTGGAATGCTCTTAAGTCTAAAAACTGAAATACACTTCCCAGATCTATCATGGAAGAGAGATCCCTATAGATGGAGAACTTTATAGATACTACCCTGAGGCCACATTTGCTTCTGAAATCAGAGTGTTTTGCCCAGCAAGGCTTTGGGACAAATGATGTGCACGTCACAGAGTGTAATTTCATTGCAGAGCTAAAATGAGGGCAAGGTTGCTGTGCAAGTGTGCCTGGTAAATCTCGGAGTTGCACCCTGCTATTTTGCATTAGTAATTGCTTTTTCAATTATGTTTTTTGACTCAGATCCCAGATGAACAAGCAGAGTCCTCCCCCTGGTGGCAAGTAGGAAAAACAGCGGAAATTAATTTTTAAAAGGGCAGGAATGAAGAAATATCAGAGAGGACCTGTTATTAGGTCAACTGATAGAGCTAAAAAATTACGATTTGTGCAGAACACAAATCTTTTTTCAGGAATTGAACTATTTACTTTGAAGGCTGATACAATGATACAACTTAAGAATAGTTACTGAGCTTAACTGGCTTCTTAATTTATTAGTCAATTAGCAAGAAAAGCAGAGGATAAAACCTGTAGAAAAACTTTAGTAGCTGAGCAGAGTAATTATAACGTGCAATAAATCCCTTCTCTCCAGCCCCCACTGAGTCACTGTCTTTTAATGTCCAGCTGAGTTACAGTGTCCAAAATGCCTTAAAGGAAGACTAGTCTAAAAACTAGAATTCATAACACTACTGAGCCATAAAAAAAGGACTCACTGGACATGTTGGCTCAGCTAGCTCCTCAAAATCATCCACAGAAATCTTATTTCTTTGTGTTTGTTACAGTTATCTTTTTGACTCTTTTTTTTTTCCTCTGCAAGTGTCTGAAGACATTCTCTGTTCAGTCATACAACTGATTAATTTTGTCACATTAAATGCAGAGCAATCGTTCTTAACATTTGTTTAGCTTTAAAATGATTACTTCAATTTCAGAACTGAAAGAGAACTTCTGTGCTTGAGCTGCTGCCCTTCCCCTTCTCAACTGCATTAGTTAGTTTAATAAAGATGGCAAGATTGTATTAGCTGAAACTTCCTTTTTTGTTTTATTTATGAGTAAAATGCTTCTTTCCAAAACATATTGAACATTTGATTCTGGTAATCTAAAGAGCCACTAAAACCCTTCATTTTTTTCAGGGAAAATCTTCCATAAAGGAACACATAGAGACTGGAGAAGTCCCAAAGATCATTTCCTGAAGGACATGGGGAAAAAAGAAAACGTGGCAGTGAATCTTTAGTACTTCCTGGGAACTGCAAAGAAGGATGAATAACATGCAGGTATGCGCATGTTCCTGTGTGCAACTATGCATGTATATACATACTTATTTTTATACATACAAATACTTTTTTTTGTTTGTTTGTTTCCATCATATTAATACTCCACAACCACAGAACATTTCACGTGAAACTACCACACTAAATCTAGCAGGTAAGAGTTAAACAGCCAAGATAGGACTCCAGAATGCATGAGGAAAGTGAAATGCAAGCGAGTTCAGCAATTCAGATGTTGTCATCAGCAGCACAAAGTCCAGCTGGAGGCCAGTCACTACTCCATGTCTCCCCTGAAGCAAGCTAGGAACAAGATTGTTTAACCTCTGCATGAGTGACCTAGAGGATGAGACCAAACATACCCTCAGCAAGTTTGCAGATGATTCAGACTTGGCAGAGGTGACTGACAGACCGGATACTTGTGCTGCCACTCAGAGGGACCTTGACAGCCTGAGAAATGGGCAGAGAAGCCTCTCATCAACAGGGAGAATTGCAAAGTCTTGCACCTGGGCAGGAATAACCGTATGCACTGGCACAGGGAGAAAGGTCTGGAAAGCAGCTTTGCAGGGAAGGACCTGGAGGTCTTGATGGCCTCCAAGTTGAGCATGGACCAGCAGTGTGCCCTTGTGGCTGGGATGAGCATCACCAGAAAGTCCAGGGAGGCAATTCTAACCCTCTGCCCCATCACTGGGTCCAGCGCTGGGATCCCCAGTAGGAAAAGGACAAGGATACGCTGGACTGAGTTGAGCAAAGGCCACAAAGATTATTAAGGGACTGAAACATCTCTCATGCGAGGAGAGGCTGAAAGAGCTGAGATTGGTTAGCCTGGAGAAAGTTTACCTTTTACCACCAAACACTCTTCACATATCTGTGTTTAAAAATGTTTAATTTTTCACCTTGATACAAAAATACAGTACAATGTGATGGCAAGGCATTCTCCAAAAAACATTCAAAGAATAAAGGGAAATCCCCATAATGCTTCTACATAACCCACCTTCATTTCATAAAACAATCAAAAGGTGAGTGCACAAGGAATAAGTTCAATTTCTGCCCACAGGCAAATAAAGATAAATCACTACACAAAGTTCTACATAAAAATATGTTTGCAGAGCTAATAATTTCACATGCTTCTTGAACATTCATGAAATTTATTCTACTTGGTTCAGTGGCAGAATTAATGATTAGGAAATGTCTGAAAAATGTCTGGCCCAGGAGCATGCCCCATTAATCTGAATATTGCCAGTAAAAACAATGAGATCACATAATACCAGTTAGCAAAGAGGGATCAAACCCTGAATAAACACCAAAATGTACTCCAGTCACACTGTTTGTCCCCACATGAAAGTTTTGCCCCCCATACCTCCCTTTTAACACATAATATTAGTGGTTGCTGTGCTACAGGCAGGTACAGGATCCCCTTTCTGGGATCAGTGTGTTTGCACATTACGTAGTTGCTAGTAACCATTACAGAACCAACCTGCTGTGCAGAGAAGGAGATAACACTGTAATTGATGCATGTGTGTGCATTTCAAACGGGGTTTAACCTAACATTGTCTACAGGAGAATTATGTCCCTCCTGTGTATCTACATTCTTAGCCTCCTTAATGATTTAATAATTAAAAAATGAATCATTTCATTTTAGAGTTTTGAAGTGATGAAAAAGCATCATTCAGTATATTTATTATAGTTCATCTCCCAGGTGTTTTTGTTTGAAAGCATCACCTGTCAGCTTCTCCTGGGCCTCCTTCATCCCTTGGACAACTGTAAGATTAGACAGAGAGATATCAACTGATTAATCTCAAGACCAAAACACCAAGGTCTCCTGGTCATGAAAGTGTTCTAAATCAACACAGACTTACAGAATGCACATCAACAAAGTACCCATGGGAAAAAAAAAAAGCAGAGTTGCACTCTTCCCTCTCGCAACATTTTGCAGCTGGATCATACGAATTGTGGGGTTTTCCATGCCACAAATTCAGAGACAGCTTAGGGCCTACAGGTGTTACCCTCTAAGGTGCATCCTAATACTGAACATCGTTCCTCAAAGGAGTCACTCATTCACCTTCCATGTAACAGCTTCCACCCATGCCGTGAAATACGATTATTTTTCCATTCAAAACCAATCTTACTTTTTTCTTCACACTCCCCCACTAAAGATGCCCTTTAAACTCCTTTGCACATACCTTGATCAGCATTGGTATAGAAATACTTGTAGCTGGGATTTCCTTTCTCATTGATGATCTCTGGGTGGACTTTTCCACTGGGATCTATGAAAAACAGAGAACAAACAGGATATTTAAGTGGTAAAAGCAAGAATTGTAAGAGTCCTGTGGATTCAACAGCTGTGGATGTCTTACCCATGAAAAGGATTCTGGGAATGTAACCTCCATCTGGGCTAAAAGCTTCATCCTTTGGTTCTTCATCATCCTACCAAAGCGAGACAGAAGAGAGGGCATATATTAGTGAGGTATCTAACAAAAAATAGTGTTTATTTCAAAGAAAAAAGCTGTTGTCTTCAGATTCCAGTTACATTTTGAACAGAAGAGAACTAGCTGCAGTAGCTTCCTCTTTCAAAGGAAATAAGGATATTTTCACCCAAACAAGTATCATTTGTGAAAATTAATTATTTTTACTGTATTGTAGCTTTTACATTAAGCAAACTTCACTTCAGTGTTGAAATGTTTGACACGTAATGAGAGAACGAATATAAATTCCTTTATTGCTGCAGTGGAGTAACTCAACGTGCAAATTGTTAGAGATTACAAAGGAGTCAGATTCATAACCACAATTAAAATAATAGTATTGTTTTAAAAAGAAATCGTATCATATTCAATCAGTTGTATCAATCTATTCTGAATACCTATTCAGGAATGCAGGATTAAGATGCAGCCAAGATAGGATGAAACCAGTAAGGAGGATTCCAAATTCTTAATTATGTAGCAGTAGCATAGACATGAGCCAGAAGAGAGCCTACCTCAAGGTTGACCATAACAAAATTATGAGCAAGTTCAGAGATCTCCTTGGATTCAGCAAACTTTGGCTTGTTAAATTTAATAAAAAAAAAAAAAAAAAAAAAAGAGGGAGGAATTAGAAAAAAAATGTACAAAGCAAGTACAGAAAGTTTCAGGTCAGCACCAAAATCTCTACTCCATTCCTCCTGATGGAAAGCAGGTACTATTCAATGAGCTTGAAAAAGCGCAATATTACAGCTGTTGATTTGCTCTTATTTAGACATCGCCGGCTTTCAGTAGCACTAATAGCAGTAAAGAAGTGCTACATTATACCATTCGAAGTGAAAAAAAAAAAAAGCTAGCTACACTTTGCATGCAAAGTTCATTTTTCTCATGGCTACATAATTTTATATGATTTAAACACAATTTGTATGGAAAAGTCAGTCAGAAAATTCAGCAAGGTGTAGTACTAAAGGTACCTACCTTTACAAGCTCCACACCAGGACTTGTGGATGATAACCATAAGAGGCAACCCACTTCAAAAGAAAAAGAAAAAAAATAGTCAAAAAAATCTTACAGCTGAACCTCTAAACCAAATTCCATTACATGCATGTTGTGAAAATCAACACACCTACCTACAAAGGCCGTAAGTACTATAGAATAATGGAAATGTAAATAGCTTCTGCTGTGGCTTTGTTATCTTGCAAATGGTTTTCCCCATCTTAAATGTGTAAAAATAAATTTATTATAAATGCCAGCCAAAAACTAGCAGGCTTTCTCCTTGCAGGGTTTGCTCTTAGTTCAGATTTTCTTAGGTGCAACCCCCTGGTTGCCAGGCTAGTTTCCAACCTTTGGTGTGCTGCAACAAATCTGTCATGGCTGTGACAAGTGGCTGCACAAGGAAGGGCATCATGTAAAATTGAAGCACAAATTAAATGTAATGTAAAGGACAAAAGTTAAGAGTATAAGTTCCCTGTACAATTAACAAGCAGTTACCTGTAAAGACTAGAGTACTGAGTTCAGTGTATTAAGTGACCATATGTATATTACTCCTTCTCTCCCCAAACAATTCGCCTGACCTTCATTACTGACCCATTCCTACAGGCTGTTTCTATTGCTCATGTTTTATTTAAAAATGTTCTTAAAATACTCTTAGCATTTCACCTTCTGACAAAATCAGGTCTACCAAGTTCAGATTCTCTAAGCTACTACTTTGTAATGTATTCAGGCTACATTATGTGTTAAAACAGGGACCTTTTACTCACCAGGAACTTCCCATATCTCCCCGTTATCAGCAGTGAACCTATTAATCCATTACTTCACTTTCTGGAGGAATTCAGAAAGATATGCAGAGAATGTGGCATGTAGACACACACTAATTTTCAGGAATGCAAGGCAAAGCCAAGTTAAGTTTTTTGGTATTTTAAGTTCTGAACATTACCTTTTTAGGGGTTAAGAATAAGGTATGGCTCTCAAGAGTTGTCACCCACAGAATTTAAACAGCTTTGCATGTGGTGGCAAATACATTTGTTACCAGCAGAACTGAAGGGCAAGTTCTTACTTAGCTGTACATCAGTTTGAAGGGAAATCTCTATGCAGCAGCATCCAGTTAAGGCCTTCAGAGCCAGGAAAGGAAGGAACTGACATTTAGAGTAGTTTAAACAGAAGTCTGCCACTTCTACATAGCCAAAACATTAACATTCTCTTTTACAAGATGACAACACGATTTTGCTCCTTTCTCCAGGAGAGGCTGATTTAAGTCTGGAAAATACGTGCTGCTCTTATTATCAAGGATCAGTGTTGCATGTCGGAAGAGTTCAACCAACCGTAACTGGTACAGAAGCACACTTTCTTTGTTCCAGCTAAGAAAAATTTCCAAAGCAGATTGTAAACGGAGGTGTTTGCAACCTTACAATATAATCTCTGAGCCAGTGAGAACTCACAAAAGTTTTACAGAAACTGAATGCATTTTCCCTACTTTATTCTATTTACTCTGACTAGGAAGTGAGATTATATACATCAAAGTATTTCTGTAGTCATTTCTCAGTTCCACAGCACAAAGGCCCATTTAGTAGCTAGTATAATGCATAAACAGCCAATGCCAAGGACCTCAGTTAAATAAACTTCCTGCACCCTTTACCATCTCCTCTCAGATAACACTACCTGCACAGTTCAAATCAAACTCCATCCAAAAAAGGCAGGTGAATCATCCATTGAAAAATAAAAGCAGAGAACTAAATGTCAGCAATATACCTCATATGACAAAGACTGAAATAAGCTGAAAGGCCAGAAGAAAGCTATTTAACCACAGATGGTAAAGACTCATGGGAGAGTTTCAAGGTCAGACCCAGAGCAGACAACAGCATTTCAGGTCATCTGTGTTGAGCGCAATCATTCTTAAACAAGTAATGTATTTAAATGTATTTAATAATGATCTTGCAGAGAAAAGCCATAGCAAGTTTTTTTTTTTTCCATAAAACAGTCTTGCACATAAATTAAGACGCCACACTCCATTAAGGCACGCTGTTTCAGGTTTAATAATGAGAGGTTCGAGCTTGCTAAACCAGCACGTTTCCGTTGTGCAGCATTTGCAAATCTATCTCTTCGTTTTGGCAGCATTTTTTGGAACAGTTGCATCCTAAAAACACTACCTGCTCCAGCCCTGGAACAGAAGTCTCTTCTGCAGCCTAACATATTTGGAGAGAGCCTTAGGAAACCAGTCCTCCGAGCCAAGACACATCCCAACGGCCCCAGCCATCACCTTTGCACTTCCAGTTTTACATGCCCTGATTTGGCAGTTTGGGTCTCCACAGGAGGCTGCTCACTTGCCTGAGGAGCTGTCCTTGCCAGGAGATGAGGAGAACAGGCTGTGTGTAGGGGCACCTTCTCTGCGGCTCCTCTTCACAGCACAACTTGCTCAGCTGCTGCAGGAACACAAGACCCATCTTCCCACAGCTGCAGCCGCCAAATCGCACATGCATTGGGCAGGACACGAGCTCCTTGGGGGCAGCAGACAGACAGCAGTAGCTGGAGGCCCAACCCGGGGCCTCACTGGATGCTGCGGCTCAGGTACTGCAGGAACATGCTGGCCAGCTGGGGCAGGTTCTCGTCGCAGGGCTGTGTCTTGGCGTAGCTGATGAACTGCCGCCGCAAGCGGCTCAGCTCGGCCATGCCCAGCGGGCGGCTCAGCCGCAGTGCCTCGGCGGCACCGGGCACATGGATGAGCTCTCCGGGCTGGGCACCCGCGCGCTGCGCCTCCAGCACGGCCGCCAGCACCTCCTGCGTGACGCAGTCGAGGCGG